CTCATCGATTCAACCGGAATATGCTTATTTATATAAGCGATCGTGGTGAAAATTGGAGCAAAATGAACCGTTGCTGCCCTCACAGTACTGCTTAGGCATCCTAATGAACAGAGAGTAAAAGTGCTCTATTTCATGAGAGACGATGTCTCAGGCCGATGATCAACCACATGAGATATCAGCTTCCGGCTTCCATCTGCCTTTAAAAGACGCTTTTTGTCTAATTGTGGTGCAAATTTGAGCGGAAGAGGTTCTGCGGAATGAACTCCGGAACTTTTACTTTGTTCTTCAAGTTGCCTACTCTATCGTTGGAACACCCTGTGTATTATATAATGCCATGCAGTTTACTTACTTTACGCCACATGTGGATGCCGGCCTTCTAAAGGCAATCGCATAATACAGGGGCATCACATAGTTGTCTGTTCCGGTGTAACCGAAAGAGGAAAGGTTACCACTGCTGTCCGGAAAATATTGAATTGCCCCGTGAGGAGCTGAAATAGTCGAACGATAGTTAACGGGAACGTGCAGTTGTCATCTGGTGTATATACAGGACGTTTCAATATACAGGGTCAATATCTATTCCTATCAAGACTGCAAAAAATCACTTACCTTGAGGAAAACTTTAAATTAAGCCGTTTCAGTGAAAAAAAATCCTGGATGGCCCATAAATATAAATATACAAGAAGCAAACGGTCTTTGAACCGAACCCCGCATGAAATTTCAAAATTTTCCAGTTTTAGCAAAGTTACTCTTCTTTCTAAAGATTCACCTCAAAATACTGGCAATTTTAAGGTATTTTTCGCGAAAAATTATGAAATATTTTTTATTAGAACACTCGTCTCCTTCGTCGAAAACCCGTGACTTACGTTCCTCTGAAGACTGTAGAGTTTGTTTAAAAAATGTGGTTTTTCAGTTTTGGCTGAATTTTTTTTGCTTTGCTTTCTACTCCAAAACGCTCTAGATATGTTTATAGCTTGGTAGAAATTTTACAAAAACTTTTTTGGGAATCGAATTGGGGCAAAAACAAAAATAAATTGTCCCGTTTTATCCCGAAAATCATTAATACTTTCCCCAAAACCAAAAGTTTTTAATCAAAAACGCAAAAAAAATTAATTTTTCGATGATTTTGATCAAAAATGACAAAATTGATTTTGTTAGAAAATTTGCCTCATTCATCGGTTTGCAAGGAACTTTAGAAACACATTTTCAGCTTGTTTCAGCGAATTTGGCACAAAAACCAAATAATTTAATTCAGTTTTTACCGAAAGTATCTAAGATTATCTTGAAAAAAACGGTCAGAGGAAGTTTCCAAAAAGTTATTTGGAAAATTTGCCACCCTCGTCGCTCTGCAGATTTTTCAAGTTTCTTTAAAATTTCAGGACATTCCGGTTTTAGCGAAGTTTCTATTAAGCAATTCTTTCTACGCAAAAACATTTCATTATTACTTAAAATGCTGACAATCTTCAGGTATTTTCTGTGAAAATTATAAAATAAATTTTACTGGAACACTCGGCTCCTGAAGAGCTTTTTAAAATGTTTTCTGCAATCTTTTGCAGCTTCGAATTTTGGACAAAACTCTAATAATTTTTTCTGGATTTTTTCCCAAAAATATTTTCCCGAACAGAACAAGTGAATGTTTATAACCAATTATTCGGAAAACTCGTCACTTTTGTCGCTGTGAATAA